CAGCACCGTGGAACTGTCCTTTCTGTCCCATGGACTGGTTTAATAAACTAAGGTATAGAAAGGAGGTTAGTTTGTTGGTCCTCCTCTTGCTCCTAAACTCCATTTGGGTGTAAATCTTGGCACCCTGCCTTCCTATTTGGAAGAGGGAGGGGAAGCGCAAAGGAAAAATACTGAATAGTCTCAAGGAGATCTTTTTAACTGGAGCTGAAACAGGCGTCCTGAAATGAACCTTCAGTCCATACATTAAGCTCTGCTCATAAGTAAAACGTTTAGAGAGACGGTAATTACAACACCAGGGCATGCGCCTATTTTGGATCTTTAAATGACTGTTGCCTTATGAAATGTCATTATAGTCTTTTTCCAAACACTTACTAGAGGAGGTGCCCTGTGGGTGTCTGGCCTTCCAGAATGGAGATAACCCCAGGAAAGATGCCCTTGGAAACATGGCCAGAATAGAAAACGATTTAATAACAAAATTCAACTCCATTTGACCCCCCCCCCCGTTTTTGTTTTTTGCTAACCCAGCTGGGTGCAGGTCCCTATTTCTACAGTCCTCCATGGATTGCCTCTGGGGTGTCACTCCAGGCAGGGTGTGGACGATGCAGAAGTCAAAGCCTGAATTGGAGGACCATCTCTTCTGTTCCCTCACTCTTCTTTCCTTTACCCCTGGCCAGAATGGTAAATTTAGGATGCTGTGGAATAGAGTCTAGTAGCCCGGGTCCCCTCAAGCTGGGTGGCTTGAGAAGCAGTTTCCTGACCCCAGGCTACCACCCTGTCACCCCTCCTAGGCCGGAGCCTTGAACTAGGCAGAAAGAGTGTCACCTGACCTACCTCTGCAGTCCTTTGGGGACTAGAAGGAGGAAGTAGGGATTCACCAGGTTCTAATCCTAGAACAACAAACCTAGGAAATATTTTGGAGCCTTGCTGATTTGCTCTGGAGCCTCCTGTGTGATGATGGGGTAGGCAAAAGAGGTGCTGTGTATATGAGAATGGGCCCTTTTACAAACTCCTTTGTCTGGTTTTGTTTTAAGGGGCAGCTTAAGCCTCTGAAAGCCGAGTCCCCAGGTCCCTAGCTTTGATCAATGCAGGCCAGCACCTATCTCTGGGTTCCCCCTCTTTCCCAAATGCACTGGCTGTGGCCCAAACTCTCCTCCCCAAGAGATGGAAAAGGAGCTCCCAAGGTTTGGGCAGAAATAGGGGTATCTCTGCCACTTGGGGAAGCAAATAAAGCAGACAGAGTGTGGGGTGGGATGGGGAACAGGCCTGGCCAGTGCCGGACTTAGGGGAAGGCTGAGAAGGTCCGCTGGCCTAGGCCTACTCCCTGGTGCAGATGCCCAATGCCAACCACCTTTGCAGTTCTCTGAGTGCCAGCCTCCTCCCCGGGCTTCAGAAGGGTTCCCTATGGAATCCCATCCTCTCTACAAAGATATAGGAATGGTAGAAAATCAAAGCAGGGGCAGGACAGCCTGAACCCCATCCGAATGGGACTTTTTTGGGGGGTTGGGTGAGAAGGTTCTGGGGAAAAGTCAAGCTGGAGAGGATGAACAGAATCAAATTCCTGCTCTGTCATTTTTCTCCCAAGTAATGACCTGCGCAAAATTCAATATGTCCGAGCAAACCGCGCCAGCATATTAGAGCCACCGCCTGCTCGTGGGGGAGGCCGGGAGAGGGGTGAACCGCAGGTCACGGCGTCTAAAAATTATTAAAATGTTCGAGAGCCTCGTGACGCGCCTAGCTGTTTAACAAAGACTGCCAAAGTATGAAATTAATACGAAAACTTGAGCTTCCAAAACAAAAACACCAAAAAAAAAAAAGTCTTATTCCGGCCTTGGAGAGGGCCGGGGGACTCCTCTGCCCGCAGCCACGGTTCGGTTTTCCGGACTCACAATAGTGGACTCCAGCGAGCTCAGCTGTTACCCAGCGGGGCCCTGGCGGGTCACCACCCCGGAGGGCGCGGGGAGCGGCCGGTGAGTACTCGAGCCCGCTCAGCTCCAAGGCTCCTGTCCTCCGCGGCGTTGCCCGGGGCGCGGGCCGACTGGGCACTCACGTCCCTGGGCCTTTCGCTTTCCCTCGCTCGCTGCGTCCCTTCTTCCGCGGCCATGAAAGGTGGCTGATTCTTTAGGGCCTGGGCCCGCCCGGGGTGGCGGAGTGGGGGTCTGAGCAGCGAGAGGTCAGGCTGGCAACCTGTGGCTCCCTGCAGAAGGGGGCCGGGAAGCCGCCAGACGACCCGGGAGCGCTGCAGAGGCGGCTGGAGCGCGCTAGCCCCTAGCTTTTCTATTATGCGTATTGCTCTTGGTATTCCGGGTGTGGACCGGAAAGGCAGCCTCCTGCTCTGGAGAAACTCGTCCTGGGAGTCCCTGATAAACCTTGTCCTCCTCCCCTGGCAGCAGCACCCGGCTGGAGCTGGGGTGGGGTGGGGTGGGCTGGGTGCGGTGCCCTGGTGGGAAGAGCAGGTGACGGGTCCCAGCGCCGCAGGGGAGAAAATCTTTGCGCCCTGGCCCCGGAATCAACGGTGCTCAACCCTGCGGTTGCTCTGCCCCCTAGGAATCGCTCCTGGGATGCTGCGGGCACCTGGGCCGCATCCTTCGTGGAGCAGAGCCGCAGAAAGGCCCTGCGCCTCTCAGAAACTTCGGAACGGCCTTCGGGTTGGACGGGTTTCCAGGAGCCGGCAGGGGAGGGCAGGAGATTTGGGGTGGGGGAGGGGCCTGAGCAGTTGAGTGGGTCCTGGAGGCCGTAAGTGGCTGTTGAGAAGACTTCCAAGGGTCTTTGGTTGGTTTGGGGGAGCTGGTGCCACGTGGGCCCAGGGCCAGACTCCGGTCTCCCTGGGTGCCCAGGCGGGGTGAGATTACCTGTTGGATCCTCGTTTGGGCCCCCCCCTTCCTGTGTTGACCCGGCCTACCTGGGAGAGTGGCGATATTAGAAACTAGGCCCAGAGGTCATCACTGCCAAGGAACAGATTGGGGATATTAAAGGAAAAATAGTTGCCTGCAGCTGGGAGCTCTCCCTGCCCACCTTCTAGAGGCTCAGGTCTAGAGATGGACAGAGACCTAGGGCGTTTGGTGGTTAAAAGGTGGTTCTGCGTTGTTGCTGTATTTGCTCATGAAACTGATGGTATTCTGAGTTGTTCTGGTAGGGGTGTGTGTCTCAGACCCTAGGCAGGCGCTGAGCAACGGGTCTGGGGGGGGAGCAGGCACCTGGGGATGCATCTCCCCACCTGGTCACAGAGTCCAGTCTAAGCTTCAGTTCCGCCCAGCCCAATCCCCAGTGTCCCAGTTAGTAAATTCAGCAGTCACTGGTAGGTTCAGAAACCCCAGCCCCTCTTTTGGGCCTTGCCACTGGCAGCAACCCAAGCAAGCAGGTGGCTGGGCTGAGTGACTTTAAACAGTGGGGACCCTCCTGGGGCTAGGGAGGTGGGAGCCAGGGTTCCTCCAAACACCTGTAGGGGATCATCCTCCCATTCTGGCCCCCAGAGGGTTCAGGGGACTGGGAGGGGCCCACAGATCATCTGGCAGCATCTTTTATGGTTCCGCATTGCCCTTCATTCGGAAATGAAATGCCTTTGATCTTTTCTCAGGTTGTAAACGGAATTGCCCGTCGTTAAATATCCGGGGCCCCATCTGCTTGGTCTCCCAGCATTTTTCTTTACAGCTGTTTCTCTCTTTTTACCATTGACTTTTTCCAAAAGGACTTTTATTACACCCCTTCACACCCAGCCGCCTCTCCCTCCTCCCTTTGCTGAGAAGCGCTTTGGAAAACATCTAGATATTCGTTTGATCGAAAAAGAAGGCTGTGAAGGGCACTGGAGGAGCTGATTAGGATTTTGTTTTTTTCTTTAAAAAAAAAAAGTCCTAGGGGGAGGGGAGGGAGGCGAGGGCACCCAGAAGGGCCTGATTCTGACTCCTCCGCAGCCTCGGGATGACCCTTCCTCCTTTTGTGCTTAGCTAATGTTTACATCTCATAATTCATGCGCGGGAGAGTTACCCGGCGGCCGGGAGGTTTGTGTCTCTTCACAGACCGTCTGCTTCCTTTTCTCTCTGAGTTGAAAACCTTGTAATCCCAAGAATGGACTCAAGAGCCTCATTCGGCTCGCAGAGGTCAAAAACTAGAACAAAATGAAATAAAACGAAAGCACTCCGACCACACCCCAAAAGAAGAACGCGCAGAAAAGTAGAACTGGAAAATTTCTGGGCCAAGAAGATCTGTCTGTCTTCTGTATATACCCTGTAGGTCCGAATTTGTGTAAGGAATTTTGTGGTCACAAATTCGTATCTAGGGGAATATGTAGTTGACATAAACACTCCGCTCATTTTTTTCCAGAAAGAAAAAATATATATATTATTTTTCTAAATGAGGACAATTTAATGACTGAGCACGAGAAGACTTCTTCCGTTTTCTTTCTTCTTTTTTCCTTTCCTCCTTTCATCGGTTAGAGATGGAACAACCTTCCACCTGAACTCAGCTCCTGTCTGCCCCTGGGAGCTTTGAACCTTTTTCACTTGTCTTAAGAAGTTACTGTTGTTGATGATGTTTTTAATTTATCCTGATTTATCCTGTCATCCCAAGTCCACCTCTTTTTGCCTCTGGGCCGGAGGGGGCTTTATTGCAAAAAAAAAAAAAAAATTTTTTTTTTAAAAGACTGTTTTCTGCAGTGTGCGAAGGCAAAGAAAATTCGCTGTTCAAAGGGATGCTGGGGTCGACTTTCCGTTTGGGTTCAGAACATGACGCCTTGGAAATACGCGATTGCCGGGGGTGTTATTGTGTCTGGGGGGGGGGCCTCAGGGCTAGGGCGTCTGACCCCAGCACCACCGGGAGGGGAGGATTCTCTAACCGCGGAGGCTGCGGCATTAGCGCAATTAGAACGACTCGGCGTCACAGTTAGTTTTGCTCGGTTGGTTCTGGAATTAGCAAGTTGTTATTCAATTTGCTCTCATAAGTTGCAGGTATTTTGACTCCAGCGCTCATCTTCACCTTGGGGAACCAAGTCGTTTCGCCGGCCATGGGCTGGAGGAGTGGCTAGGTGAAGGGGGATAGACGGACTGACTGACGCGGTCAAGCTAACAGCGCAGCTAAATGCGACTTGGAAGGCGAGGTCTCCCCGAATTAGTGCATGCATTTTCTATCGATCCGCTAGCGCTTCCATTCATCTCTGACAAGTCCCTCCGCGCACCCGCCCTCCTGCTCCCCACGCCTCCTGGCTCACCCCCTACCCCTCCTCATCTGGCTGCAGAGAAAAGCCCCAAGCTCAGCGCCCCTCGCCCCCAGTGGGCTCCCCATTTCGAGGAGGAGCCCCCAGTCCACCAGCCACTGAACTCCCCACGCGGACGCCGGGCGCACGGGCTCCCTCTCTCCCCAGGGAGGAGATGGAGCCCTTTGGAAGGCACCGAATGCCAGGCAGAGGTGAGGCAGGACAGGAGGGGCTACATCGGGAACCCCAACTTCGAGGGCGGGCATGCGGGGATCGTGCTCTGCCCTGCGACCCAGCAAGCAGGCCCTCGGTCGCAACCTGCTCGCCCTCGCTTTCTCCTGCGCTCTGTGCCTCTCCGATCTCCGGGAGACCGCGGCGAGGAGGGGTCGCCCTGCAGGAGCCCTATGTAAATCCTGGTGTCGGCTGGGTGGGGAGGGGGAAGCGAAGAAGGGAAATAAACCTCTTTGGCTGGAGTAGGGTCTGGGTGAGCAGATTTCCTTATCCGGGAATCGCAGGCGGGGTGGCCATTGGCTCGGAGGATCACGTGGGGCCCTAACTTTGTTCACTTGACAGTAAGTAGGAGGGCTTTCGGAAACAGGAAAACGAGTCAGGGGTCGGAATAAATTTTAGTATATTTTGTGGGCAATTCCCAGAAATTAATGGCTATGAGTTCTTTTTTGATCAACTCAAACTATGTCGACCCCAAGTTCCCTCCGTGCGAGGAATATTCACAGGGCGATTACCTACCCAGCGACCACTCGCCCGGGTACTACGCCGGCGGCCAGAGGCGAGAGAGCAGCTTCCAGCCGGAGGCGGGCTTCGGGCGGCGCGCGGCGTGCACCGTGCAGCGCTACGCGGCCTGCCGGGCCCCTGGGCCGCCGCCGCCGCCGCCGCCGCCGCCCCCTCCCGGACTGTCCCCTCGGGCTCCCGCGCCGCCACCCACCGGGGCCCTCCTCCCGGAGCCCGGCCAGCGCCGCGAGGCGGTCAGCAGCAGCCCCCCGCCGCCTCCCTGCGCCCAGAACCCCCTGCACCCCAGCCCGTCCCACTCCGCGTGCAAAGAGCCCGTCGTCTACCCCTGGATGCGCAAAGTTCACGTGAGCACGGGTGAGTGCGTGGGCGCCCCTTCCCCTCCCACCCCCCGGCGCTTTCCAGCGAAGGGACCCGGAGGCATGGGGGGAGGGGGCTGGGGAAGCCAATTGTCCCCGCTATAAACTCGCCATTGCCAGAGATTTACTGTCGCCTGTTTTCAGAGCCACATAATTACATCCCCCATAAATTTTTATGGCCTGGTGGGGCCTGCGCCTTTGAAGTCGGTTCTCCATCCTCTGCCCTATTCTCACCAGCGACTTTTCGCCGAGGAGATGGAGTCCCAGTGAAGTTGGAAGTTGGGGAGGGGGTGTGTGGGAGGTGGAGGAGGAGGAGAAGGAGGAGGTAGTAATCCGTATTTAAGCAAGAGGCTGCAGGCAACTCCCAGTATTTTTTTCCTCCTCCCTTTCTTCCAGGCTGACTGGGGAAGTGTGCAAAAGTTTTTACTGGGGCCAGCGAGGGTGGGCACTGAACAGGGGAAAGGTTTAGGGCAACACCCTCCCTTGCCTGCCCCCCATTCTCCCATCCGAGGCCCCAGGCCAAGGGGGAGAGAGGGCTGAGGAAAACCTCGCAGGATTCCTCCCCGCTTCCTTAGACACGCGAACAAGCACGCTGACAGCCCAGCCCCGCATGGCTCCGAGGTCTTTCTTTCTCCGGCGTGCGGCTGCCTTCCCCAGGAGCGTTTTGCTCCACACTGGAGGTGGTGGGAGAGAGAGGGAGGGCGCCGCCGCCTTAGCTAGAAGAAAGGGCGCTCCCTCCTCCCTTTCGGGGCAATAAAACTTTCTCTTTCTCCCTGTCTCTGTGTGTGTCCAGTAAACCCCAATTACGCCGGCGGGGAGCCCAAGCGCTCTCGGACCGCCTACACCCGCCAGCAGGTCCTGGAGCTGGAGAAGGAATTTCACTACAACCGCTACCTGACGAGACGCCGGAGGGTGGAAATCGCCCACGCGCTCTGCTTGTCCGAGCGCCAGATCAAGATCTGGTTCCAGAACCGGCGCATGAAGTGGAAAAAAGACCACAAGTTGCCCAACACCAAGATCCGCTCGGGCGGCACCGCCGGCGGCGCAGCCGGAGGGCCCCCTGGCCGGCCCAACGGAGGCCCCCCCGCGCTCTAGTGCGCCCCCCAAGCTGCAGCGACGGACCTGGGGGCGGGGGCGCGCCGCCAGCGCGGATGGGGGCGCAGGGGGTGCGGAGCGGCCGGCCTGGGCCCCCACAGCCTACCTGACCTCCCCCCACTTCGTCTATGTATGAATAAACGCGGAGGAGGAGGGGTAGGGGAGCTTTATTTATAGAAATGACAATAGGGGGCCGGGCGAGGCCCCCCCCCAGAAGCAAGATCCAATCTCTTGCTTTCTTCCTTTAAAAAAAGAAAAGAAAAAAGGAAGAAGGAAGAAAGAGAAAGAGAAGTAGGAGGAGGCTGCAGCTCTTCGTTTGCAGCTTTGGCGAAGATGGATCCACGTTTCATCTTTAATCACGCCAGGCCCGGCCCATCTGTCTTGTTTACTCCACCGAGGAGAGAGGAGAGGACGGCCTCGCCTCGGCCTCGGTGGCGACCGTTACCTCGACACTCAGCTAACAAATGAGGCCGGCCAGGCCGCCCCTCTGCTGCTGCCGCTGCCGCTGGAAGACAGCCTGGATGTTCTTTCTTTGTCCCCCTCCTGACTCCCAGCGAAACCACCCCGTGACTGCCAGATAGCCCAGTGTTGTGGCCACGGTAACAAACAAACACACACGACCTCGCTCCTCCTGCGTGCCTGTTCACAGGGGACAATTGACTGCTCGCCCCCTGCTCCCACTCTGGGGTGGATGAGGGCCAGGAGGATGGGGACACGTGGGGAAGGGGCGGCCTTGACAACGCAGGGGCAGGCAGGGAAACTGAGTCCAAGCATAAAAAGATTCACCCAGACGACCAAGTGCGGAGCCATGCTTGGCAGGGCTGGGGTCTGGGCTCTACCCTCTGGCCAATCCAGAGTTGTAAGGCAGAGGCCTCTCTCTTAAACTGAAAATGAATGTGAAACTAGGAAATAAAATGTGGCACTCCCGCTCAGGGAGGCCGACTTGTGAGTCCTCTCCCTTAGCTTATCCTTGTGCATTGTTTATTATTATTATTAATATTATTATTACGATTATTTTTTGTCATGTGCGTCCTCTCTCCTGTCCTCTCTCTGACATTCCAAACCAGGCGCCTTCCTACCCCTCTGGGGCCGCCTGGAGTCTAGAACCTTTCCTTGGCGTGAACATTTGTGTCCTGTACAGAGTGACAATAGAAATAAATGTTTGGTTTCTTGTGACCGCCATCACATCCGTGTTTTTGTTGAAACCTGGAGGTAAAGATGTGGACAGATGCCACCCAGGGTGTACGTTAAGTGCCCTCCAGGCTTTGGCTTCATGTTATATGTGGTCGCAGATATTCCCTGCCCAGGGATCCAATGGGAATTTCTGTCTCAGAGGATTCCAAATTGTGGTAGCTGGTTTATTTCCCTTTTGGGATGGGTGTGTTTTGTTTGGGGCTTTTAATTTTTTTCCTTCCAGTCCAAAAATGGTTTGGAAGGCCTGGGAGGGCTGATTCCAATCCCTAATGTGTGTGTGGGGGGAATGTTTCTTCGTAGGACACAAGAGGCTTAAGTACGGCAAAGCCTTTCATATCATGATTTATTTGTCATAAGCAAATAAAATGCGGTTAAGCTGTCTCCTCCTAGACAAACAGCTCTTTGGTTATTAGAGAGAGAGAGAGAGAGAGAGAGAGAGAGAGAGAGAGAGGAAGGATTCTTCCAGACTGGCCCTTTTCCTCCCTGCCTAAGAAGGTATCGCTTTCCTCTGAGGTGTTTAAGGCTTTAATGAGTCTAATTTTTTGCACAGATGTTTCTGGGTGTTTGCAGGTTTTCAGAGTATTTTTATATTACAAAAGAGCTAGCCGGTGCCATAGCTCAAACTCTGACAAGCAAATAGATAATCAAGAAGACAAATGGCCTCTTTTGTGAAGCCCTGCTCCTGTATTAATTTTCATTTTCTTTTTCATAGAAAGTATGGAAAGTACGACTGGGGGCCAAATAGCTTTTTGTCTCTGAGGTCCCAGTCACCCTAGAATGGAGTGGGGGAAGGGGAAGGGGTGCAGGTGATCCTCAGAAGCTTGGTCAGGCTTGGGCCCCTCCGCTGAGATGTCCAAAGGTCAGCCTGGAGCTTGGGGTCCCAGGTCCTGAGGTGCGTGGTTGTTCGGGGTGATGCCACCACCCCACCACCAAAAAGCTCGGTGCTCCGGAGAACATATACAATCAAAAGGTTGTTGTTTTTTTTGGTCTTATCCTTCAGAAAATAAAAACAGCCAATCTCACGCACATGTTTTATTGTTATTTATTTTGCATTCCTTGGTTCATAGCCGTGGTGGTGGCAAGCTAGGCAGGGCCTGGCAAGGGACAGGCCTGGTGTCCCCAGCGCGGGAAAGGGTGGTTGAATTGTGGGTTTATAGGCAGCCTGGAGATTCATTTAAAAAAAATCGCTCAGGGCCTGGAGAAGGCTGAGGGGCAAGTTTTGTTTCGTTGGTATCGCGGTGTGATGTTTTAGCTGCAAAGAGATTCGAAGCCCCTTAGTTGAGGGGAAAATAGTTCTTAAAAAGCATACACCCCCCCAGGAATGTCTCTAAAGAACTAAATCAAAGCTGCTCCTTGGAAGGTATGAATAGAATTTTTTAAAAAAGACTTCTATGGAGCTTAAAGTTCACAGCCATTCTGTGTAGACAAGAGCTAAGAAAAATGTGAGAATTATACAGAAAACCATTAATCACTTCTTTTCTTTAAATACGTATCCTCTCTCCTTTGTTATTATTCAACAGCAAATCTCCGCAGACCGGCTGTTGGGGGAAAAAAGTGTTAGCAGTCTCTCCCCGGATCTGCGAGGGGGAAAAAATTTGGAACCCTAAAGTTGAGAGCTTTTTTCTCTCACTTTGGAAGAAGCTGCTCATCATGAATGGGACCAGCGGAGCTGGGGCAAGAGGAGGCCAGAGGCGCAAAGGTAACAAAGCCCCCGGCCTGGGCTGGCTTTTTTTTTTTTTTTTTTTGATGGTTTTATGAGTTCTTTTCAGAAGCGACAGAAGAAACACTCTCTTGCCTCCTCTTTTTTCTTTTTCAACTATCTTCGAGGGTTTTTATGGTGGACACTTGGTCAGATTTGCTGCTTTTATGATGACTGATGTTTGGGTCAGAGGTGGCCTGAGCCTCAGACACCTGGAGGGTGTTTGAACTGGTGGGGACGGAGGTGTCGGGGCCCCCTGAAGAACCCCAGATGAGGCTGTCGGAGAGGTGGCTCCGAAGCGCTTTTCTGGTTTTGGAAAATGCAGGCTGCTGGGGAGAGCCAGCCAGCATGGTGCCCGTGTGTGTCTGTCGAGGTGCATGTGTACTCCGGGCTTTCCTGGGATTCCAATTGTCTACACTGGGGGGCCTGTGTCCTCTCTGCCTGTTTACAGCGAGACTTCACTGCTGCCTCCTGGGAAAATGGAATCCAGTTCTCCGATGGAAAGCCCCAGCCTTGGAACGGGGAGAAGTGGATGCGTTCGCTTTTCTTCTTGTGTGTAGCTTGAGCTTTGAGACAAATCTGTGTTCTCCTGAGAAGCGGGCTGAGTTCCAGGCCAGGTGTGCTTCCTCGGGCCAGGCCGCTCTTCTGCTCAGCCCCCTTCCCTGAGGCGCGGTGTTCAGTCCGCTTTTCTCCTGCTCTCCCTGCCTGGGGGCTCTGCTGACTTCTCTTTCGGGCCTGGCTCTGCAGGCCTGAGTCCCTGGGCTCTGCCTCAGACCTGAAGCGCTGGCCCTTTTTCCCTGAGGCCTCTCTTAGTGAGGCTGGCAGGAGAGAGAGTTCATGGAGAGGCCACGTTTTCTAGGCGATTAGCTCAGTATTAGAACCACAAAATGACCTCGGAAGCCCCTTGACCTCTGTGAGACTGGACATTGTGCTGGCCCCTGCCTCCTGCCCGGGAGGGACACTCACACCTCTGCAGGGAGAGGTCCCTGGACCTTCTTGTGCTCCATCTCCTCCTGTTTCCCTCAGGCCCCCAAAACCTTCCTTCTTTGCTAGCTTGGAATTCCTGGATTATTTTTCCATAACCATCCTTCAAGGAGAAAAGGAATAAAAGTGCTAGCCCGGATGTCTAATACCCAGGTACGAGTGTGTTAGTAGTGTGGGGTAGTAGGGTGCATAGTCCTTCCCAGACCAGGCTCCAGCCCCCTCTCTGCCTCCTCCCGTGATCAGCTCAAGCCTCCTTTCCAGCTTCCCCAGGAGGGAGCTCAGGGAAGAAAGACAAAGGGATATGGATGCTATATAAAGACTTGGACAGGCGCAATGCACAGGGCTGCCGAGGGCCAGAGGAACAAGCTCATGGTGGGGTGTGTTGTAAGGAGTTGGCCCCCACCATGAACGAATATTCCTTTGATGTCCTCCCTTCCCCATATCCAAATCCACAGACTCTCAACTCAATGTCTGAGGTTCCTTTGTCTAGAAAGCTATTTCTATTATCATCTTTATCCTCTTCCTCTGTTCCCAAATGCTCTGAGTGAGTCCTTGAGGTATCTCACCGGCTCCCCAGCAGCAAGACAAATGAGAGGGATGCAATGCAGGCTTCTCTTACCCCTCCCAGGGCCAGGTCTGCCACAGGAGCCAAAGTTTTCAGAAACTTAATGTCAAGAGTTGAGTGGGAAATCTGCTAAGAGGGGAACTGGATATGGAGAGCCGTCCCAAATTTGTATTCTGTTTGCTTCATCTTAAAAATCCACACACCAGCAGGGCATCCTCTCAGGAGCAGGGAGAGAGCCTGATTCTGGCTGGGAAGAGGAATTACTCCCCTTGAGTTAGGAATAGGAGAGACAGAACCTTGCTGGGATGTGTGTTGGGGGGTGTTGGTTTGCATTTCATAAATTATTTCTTGTAAGTTGGACCCTGGGCTCAGGCAAGAAATAACTGGAGGGATAGGTATCTTCTTTTATTTTGTCCCTGGGTAGCCTAAATGGAGAAGCTGGAGGCCTCAGGTGGGAAAGGGGGAAACAGAAAGGCAAACTGGCCTATTTCTGAAAAATACTGGGGCCTGGGAAAGGCTTCTACTCACCTAGAAAGGCAGATAACCGTTTTGGGCCCTCTGTAGGCCCCAGTGACTGAGGACCCAGTTGCCCGGGACTTTACAAACTGCTCTCTATAATGTGAGGATTAGGGGTTCAGCAAAAAGAATCAGTGGGGAGACAAAGAGGGGAAGGCTGGGGTTCACAAGGGTTTCAACCCCCCTAGGCCCAAACACAAGATCTGTCCTTTCCCTTACTCCAAGACCCTAACCTTTTTGAGAGCTGACAGCTGCCTGCGGGCGCACTTTCTGCAGTCCCAGTGGCCACCCCAGGAGAAGGACCTCTCCTCTTGTGACCCATCTTCCCCTCAATTCCCTGGGCCCTCCCCGCTGGCTTCCCCAGCCTGCCACCTGCCTGCCAGCCTGGGCAGAGGCGACCCCAGCACCCAAGGTGGGTCTCCCCGGGAAGAGGCGGCTGAGGAGGAGGTCTGCTTGGAAAACCAAGTTGGGAAGTTGGGAAGTTTCCCAGTGTGAGCTGAGCGCTGACGGATTTGTGATCAGCCATAAAACCGGCGCGTTCAGATTCGTAAATCAATCTCTCCTTTCTCACAGTCTAAACGTTCGCTTTATTGGCAGCAAGAAAAGCGCTCGGCTCTCTCGCTCGGGCGCTTGTTTATTTGAACGTGGACATTCCCAGGATCCGAAAGGAGGGCAAGAGTGGGGGACATTTTTAACAGAACCTGCCTGGCCTGCCTTCGTGTCATTTTGCTTTCTTGTGTCCTGTCCTTAAAAAGAATCTCTTGGTTTTGAAGATGACTCTCTTGCTGTGCTCCTGCTTATTCCTCCTCTCACACACATTTCTTCTTTTCTTTTCTTTTCTTTTTCTTGTGGACTTTAGTGTTTATCTTTGGCGCACCATTTTTAATGAATTTGTAGCCAGGACCTTGCAGGTCCTGGTCTTAACTAGAGCCAGAGCCAGAGCAGGGCCTGCAATCAGGATGGAGCCGAATTCAATACCAGTCTGTGTTTTGTATCTGGACAATCAAAGCCGACCCCCCCTACAGAGTCTGGCGCCCCCACCCTGTGGGGAGGGGCGGGATTCCAGTGCCTTCCTGGGGGACCCCACTGCAGCAGCCAGACCTTCTGGAGGGGCTGTTTCTTTGGGGTTTCTTAGGGTGACGACACTTTCTGGCTCTTTCTTTGAGGTTGATATGGTGACAAGGTCTTCAACTTTCTCCCCATGGAGTCATTTTTGGTTCAGAC